GGTACTTTTAGTTTTAGTACTTTTGTACCCTTTTTCTTTTTCAAGGATTTTTAATTTCTTTCTGAAAAGATTATATTGCAAAACAATGAATGAAGTATCTCCAACCGGCTCCCATAAAAGTCCACATTTCAATTTAATTGACTTCAGTTGGAGCAGAATGGAACTTATGTGGGTATAGAACAATCATTTACAAAAATGTTAAAGTATCATCAAAAAAGAAAAGGAATTGTTGAGGGGTAGCCATATTGAGTAAAACAATGAGTTACAACCGTGCTGAAGCTGACCACAGGAAAAATTAAACTCAATCTTTAGGGGAAAAAATATCCTAACAGCGAGACTTACTTGAAAAATATAAATATATAGTTCTTCTATTCCATATTCTTCTATAATGTCAAGTTCTGCATCTTTTCCACTTTATCGCCTGTAAACTAAACTATACACATGCAATTGTATTTTTCAGATTTCTTCAGAATAGATTCACTGCTTACATGTGGGAAATTACTTCTTTTGAAGAAATGTCTTTGAATCCCTTTTAGTTTCTGCCCCCCAAGAACTCTCCATTGTCTGGATTTGCTCATCTAACTGAGGAGGCCTGACTTAGTTACTGTAGGAACTCACCAAACCACCCCTGAGTTAGCTATTGAGAAGAGCCCTCTGTACTAGAAATGCCAGCAAATATTACACTTGTATCCATTGACAGTCACCCACTCAAAACAGTTACTAATGCTTTTCCTGTCCTAAGCATGTTCTGCTTGCTTGTAGTAGTGCCAGCTTCGAACATGAGTCATGGCCTCTCACATGGTCCCAAAACAGTGGGAAACACATTGAGTTAAGACCTAAACTTATAAGTACGTTCTGTGATTTGTAAGATCTTCAGCTGTTTGTGCTACTGCCAACACTTGATTAAGAGAAGTTCAGTGGTCTTTCACCTTAAAGTTGTAACATGCAACCTTTACTCTTATTAAAGTTGTACATCTTATACTGGAATATTTTGTTGCCATGAGCTCCAAAATGAAACTACATAGACAGATTGGAACACATCATACCTATCAGCCACACCTCAAATTCAAGCTGTGTCATTTTTGGTCTCCCTGATTAAAGTAATCCTCTGCTAGAGTAGAATGTCAGCTATTTTTCCACTGAAACAGGTGCACAAAATTTTACAGCTCAGAGATCCATATCACTGACACAAGTTAGGCCAACTATGAATTCTTGTAATTGCTTGTTTTCTTCATTCATATTTGTGATCCAGGCCAAGAGGTGGTCCCTGCCGGTTAATGGAATAGCAAAAGCACAACCAGCCACATTCTAAATCACAATTCTACAGCACTCATGGTGCTGCACTACCAGCTTGTCGAAAAACCAAGGGAAATTCTAAATTGAATAAAATGAAAATCTCAAACTCATTCTGGTATCTGCTGCAGTATTCCTATGCCACTTTGCCCCCATTTTTACAAAAGTTTGAGTGTCCTTGGGTTCCCCAAAATGACCTGTCTCTCTGGGCAGCTGCCGCAGTTCATACCACAAGCTGGCTCCAGCTTCTGGCCTGGCTAAGAGGTGGGACCTTGGGGAAAAGAGAAGCAGGGGGTGGGGACCTATGGCAAGGGGGACGTGGGGGGCCCAAACATTTTTGTGCCTATAACTCTCATAAATATTAATGTGCCTCTGGGCATTGTACCAGAACATACACTTGTTCTGAGGTGCTGAAGCAGGTAAAAGGCAAACTGGTTGAAAGTTTGTGGGTGGAGATAATGGGAAAAAACTAGAGCAATGTCATGTTAGAGGTTTACTACTAACCTACAAATTAAAAAGGGGAGGCTTGAGAACATAAGACTGGCCATACTGAGTCAGACCAAAAGTCTGTCCAGCCTAGTATCCTGTCTACTGACAGTAGCCAATACCAGATGCCCCAGAAGGAGGGATCACAACAGGTAATCCTCACGTGATCCCTACCCTGTCACCCACCTCCCAAGAAAATTAAGCATTTCTAGAATAACAGAAATATCCAAAACATAAGATCTGGTGGTAGTATTGGAAGACTAGCTGGCTACGTCTACATTGTCAAGATTTTGCGCAAATGCTCTTTAACGCAAGAGTTTTTGCGTTAGAGTATTAGCACAAGAGAGCGTCTACACTAGCATGTGCCTTTGCACAAGAGATGTGCTTTTGCGCAAGAGCATCCATGCCAGTGTAGACGCTCTCTTGTGCAAGAAAGCTCCGATGGCCATTTTAGCCATCGGACTTTCTTGAGTAAGAAATTCATGTTGCCTGTCTACACTGGCCTCTTGCGCAAGAACAGTTGCGGAAGAGGGCTTATTCCTGAGCAGGAGCATCATAGTTCTTGCGCAATAAGCACTGATTTCACTCATTAAAACGTCAATGTTCTTGCGCAAGAACTCCCCGCCAGTGTAGACAGGCAGCATGTTTTTGCGCAAAAGCAGTGGCTTTGGTGCAAGATCGCACCAATGTAGACACAGCCGCTATGTAAGAATCAGAGGGGTAGCCGTGTTAGTCTGAATCTTCATAAACAATGAGAAGTGCTGTGGCACCTTATAGAGTGAGACTAACAGATTTATTGGAGCATAAGCTTTCATGGCCAAAGACCCACTTCGTCAGATGCACAAAAGCTTATGCTCGAATAAATCTGTTAGTCTATAAGGTGCCACCGGACTTCTTGTTGTTTAGCTATGCAGACATTTATTGAAAAAGTAAAACAGCAATGTACATTTCAAAAGGTTCTTAGAACATGTTGAGGACTTGTTTCAGAAACAGGAGAACAGCCATTTCAAACTTGATTCTGAGCAACAGTGAGGAAGCAGTTGTGAATTTGAAGAAGCAAAGCAACACGGATGAAAGTGATCATAAAATGATAGTCTTCATAGTTTTAAGGAAGCCAGGGTTTCAAGGCCAATGATGGCACAATCCCCCACTGTTCTGAATTGCATCCCAAAGCATTACAGTGAATGCACAATTGGTTGAAAAACTGTACTCAGAGTAGTTCTTAATAGGGCTCTGTGTCTGTCACAGAAATAATGGATTCTGTAACTTTCCATGGCTCTAGCCTGTGTGACTAATGCTAGGGTAACCCAACCAGCTGGCCCCACAGATAGCCACACTGGTTGCTACTGGACCAACTCCACAGCCAGCCACTCGGGCAGACCCACAGCCATTGGATGTTGCTGGAACTGCTCAGAACTAACCACATGGGCTGCTGCTCAGGCATCCCTGTACAGTTGGCTTGGGGGCCACCCAAGCAGCAGTCTGTGCAGCTGCTCCTGGAGC